TTACATTTTTAGTAATAAATAATACCTCAAATTAAAGTTAGGGTAATATAATTGACATTGCTGGATTCCTTGCAAGACAGGGAATATTTTGAATATAAACGTCATATGTTTTGCACAAAAGTTAAAATTTTTGCTCATCTTATAAAATTCTTAAATTACATCTAAAATTTGTATGTCTACCGTATATCTCAGCCTACAAGGCGACGGGGTGTATAAGGCGACCCCAAAAATGTCCATTTAAAAAGTAGCTTTTGAGCCCTATATGCTGTATAAGACCAGTACCCCAAATGTGACACTTACCATTGGGAGCTTACTGACCCAGTAGTCCTTTACCAACCATCCCATTGACCAGTGCTGTTTAGCCATCCTTGGTTTTTTAAAATAAGGCCAATTCACTTCAAGTAATGGCATCAAATGTTACCGGTTGGCATAGTGTAAACACTAGTGACTCACTTAAGCGTCTGTTATTTAACTGGAACTAATGTCGGTGTGAGTAAATTTTTTCCATTTACTTGAAATAGATTTACCGATTTATTTGTTTATTTATTTATTTATAATATACTGTAATATATTAAACACACTGCAAGTATTTTCTTTAATTTATATACTTGTTTCGCAAAAAAGGGAGGCTACCACAGTCAAGGTCACTTTCCCTTTCTTGTCACTGGCAAATGGGGGGGGGGGGTTGTGATGATAGCAGCTGTGTTTATTACTGGGGTATATTGTTCTTTTACGTTATGTTAGACTGGTTTATAATACATTTTTATTATTTTAATATACCGGTAATCTTAATTTTAATCCAAATTCCCAAACGTAAATTTCAGTATAAAATGATTAGTGGTAGGACCGTGCGAGTGGTTTACGATATTTCCATCACCACTCTTGACACGCTAAACCACAATATTTAAGAGGTAAGAATTTTATATCTGGTGCTTAAGACGACCCCCTAACTTTGGGCTGATTTTTTTATGGTTCAAATTCCGTCTTATAGGCTGAGATATACAGTAATGCAAATTTTAGGATATTTATATTTAAAATAATCACCATCTTATAAGAATTCCAGCAATGTAAATTATATTCTGGCCGGGTAATTTGTATGAATTTTATGAGCTAAAACAAATATCTTCAGTAAATAAACATAATATGCTTCACCCAGTCACTATCTGTCAATCAAAATACCCCACCTCCCGTTCCCCCCCCTCTTCCCTCGCTCGTTGGGTCCCTCCCTCCCTCCCTCCCTCCCTACCCCTACCCCCACCTTCCCTCCCTACCCCCACCTTCTCCCTACCCCCCACCTTCCTCCCCTACCCCCACCTTTCCTCCCTACCCCCCACCTTTCCTCCCTACCCCCACCTTCCCTCCCTACCAGAGAAATGTTTGGGGGAAAACAGTATGCTTACATTTTTAGTAATAATACCTCAGACTAAAGTTAGGATAATATAATTGACATTGCTGGATTCCTTGCAAGACAGGGAATATTTTGAATATAACCGTCATATATTTTGCACAAAAGATAAAATTTTGCTCTTTGTAATAAAATTCTTAAATTTTATCTAAAATTTGTATGTCTGATGCAGATTTTAGGATGTTTATATTTGAAATAATCACCATCTTATAAGAATTCCAGCAATGTAAATTATATATTTTATGAGCTAAAAACAAATATCTTCAGTAAATAAACAAATTATATTTCACCAGCGTAAATGATGAAATTTACCGCGTAATTAAAACATTTCATTCTGGCAAGGTGCCGCGTAAATGACCAAACGTAAACTTCTTCATTTACGCGGGTGAAGTATAATTTGTTTATTTACTCTTGCGTGTTAATATATGTCAGTCGTAAAGACCGTGGGTCCTTGTCCCTGGCGCTTGGGGTCACCGACACAGTTTCCACGATATATGTAAACACCGCGGTGGTCCTTGTCACTGGCACTTTGAAGGTGACCGATAAAGTGCCCACTGTCTGACTTTTCCTTGGGATGCACTATTGGAGCACTCTATGATAATCACTTATTGCACTGATCACTTGAATGTTTTGCTGAGAAAGTTCCGGTGTAGTGAGGCTGGTAGGGCGTTGGGATATACCAGGGTGCAGGGCCAACCGGCTCGGCCTGCACGCCAAAACCCGGAGCCCCTACAGGGCATGTCTTGTCTCACTGGTGGTTGCAGGTGTGTGGCCACGTGGCCAGGACAGTAGCTTGGGCCGATGCAGGTGTGCTCCAGCCTTCAGATTAGGTCAGTAGACACCGTGAGGTGAGGTCAGGTTAGGTCGGGTCCAGTCACACTCAGTATTACACTGCTGTGCTTTTGTGCTTTTCCTTGAGTGCACTATGGGAACACTGCTCGCTAATCAATCGTTCACTAATCACTTGAATGTTTTGCTGAATAGATCCTGGTGTAGTAAGGCTGGTAGAACTTTGGGATATAGCAGGGGGAGGGGGCAGGGCCAAACAGACTCGGCCTGGCTGCTAAAACCGGGAGCGCCTTTGGGGCACGTCTTGTCTCACCAAATTGCAACACCTGAAGCAGACCAACATCAGTCAATGGTATTTTAAGCTTAAAGAACTCTGTGCACTAAACAATAAGACACACCCCCTCCCCTTCTTTAGCCATCTCACTAATGTTGACGCAGCTGAGCAATCAAACAACCATTTCACTGCTATATGCCAGACGCTCCCCCGGCTTGACACAACCACTCTCCCTGCTTACCTACCAGCCCCCTTTCCCACTGACTTAGTAGAAGAATTTGAAGTAGCAAAACGTCTGGACAAACTGAAGTTAAAACGCCCTACCACCCCCATTGACTTACCCATGAAACTCTTCAAGGAGTTTTCCCCGGAACTTGCTAAATCCCTATGCTCCATCATCAATGCTTCTCTCAGTCAAGCCAGATGCCCAGCTGACTGGAAGACCTCTTATGTATCATCAGTGCCCAAGTCAACCAGTCCACAATCCTTAAATCAGCTACGACCTATTGCAATCACCCCAATACCCAGCCTAATTTGTGAAAGTTTTGTGTTCGACTGGGCTTATGCTGATATTGCAGGAGTGGTAGACCCTCAGCAATTTGGCAATATGAAAACTTCCTCCACCATTCACTGTCTCTTCAGCTCTCTCGATTAGATATACCTCCATCTCGAGAAACGAAAAACGTCTGTAGCTGTTGCCTTCATTGATTTCACTAAAGCATTCGACCTAGTCTACCACAATTTAATCATCAACAAAGCTATTGACCTCGGGCTTTGAAGAAGTCTTATACCATGGCTTACAGACTTCCTCAGTGACGGACGCCAAGCTGTACGCTTCCGAGGGGCTGTCTCCACCTTTCAGTCACTCACCTGTGGCGTCCTCCAAGGCACCAAGATGGGACCACTCTGCTTCCTTATGCTTATCAATGATGCGCTAAGAGAAATCCCTGCTCGCTGGAAATATGTCGACGACTCCACCATTGGGATCAGCGTCAACAATTCTGCTCCCGACTATACCGCCCTTCAGGATTTATTGAACAGTCTCCAAAACTGGGCCACCAACAACCACGTCACCATCAACCATACCAAGACCATGGTTATGCAAAATCAACCTCTCCTCCGACATTGTCCCACCCCCTTCCATTACTTTAGGTCCCAACACACTCCAAGTTGTAGATTCCACTAAGCTCCTCGGCATCACCATAGACAACAAACTAAATTGGAAACCACACGTCAGTGAAGTTGTCAAATCGTCCAGTTTCCGTCTCCACCTCCTCCGCCGACTCAAGTCCCTCGGAGTTCCTGCACCCGAGCTCCTCAGTGTTTACTCAACATTCATACTTCCCAAGCTCCCCTATGCCTCCCCTACCTGATCTTCCTCCCTAAATGCCACACAACGTAAACACCTAGAAAAAGTGCAAAAGAGGGCTTGCAAGATTATTCTCTCCCCTTCCTACTCCACATATCAAGAAGCGCTCAACACACTGACCCTTTCGACTCTCACTGACAATCACCACGACCTCATCTGCAAATTTGGTAAGAAGCTTCTGCACCATCCTCGACACCGGTTCCTACTATCACCTGAGATCCCTAGCCCGAGAATTGCTGTTCGACACCACAACTGCTTCCAGCCCATACGTGCACGAACTGATAGCTATAAGAACAGCCCAGTCCCAACCATTGTAAAAATTATCAATAACTTGTAATAAACCAGTGTATTCACTCCCAGTAAATCCTACTTCTTGCACTGTCACTATGTTGAAATGCCCTGTAGTTTGAGCTTTTCCCCATCTAGTTAGTATATATCTTATTTGTATCACTTATGTTACTTGTATATTATTTGTAAATTTTCAGCCTTTTGGCTGCTATGCTCTTTCAATAAACCGTTAATTATTATTATTATTTTTATTATTATTTATCTAATATGTCAAGGGTTTGAGCCTCAGCCCAGACACACGTGGAAGGGTGTTATCCAGTGTGACCCTACCAAACACCACAGGTTTCCCAGTCCCTGCTTTCCTCCTGTACTAACACTGGCTAGAATGCCCAAACAGCTAGTAAGCTGATATGTGGCAGAACAAATCACAAATAATATTCGACAAATGAAAAGCAAAACGCGCTAAAACGGAATTTTTTTTATAAAAAAATGAATGCATTACATTTTAGAAGAAAATAAGAGTATACATACCGGGTATAGTAGTTTTAATTTTCTGCCTCCCTCCCTCCCTCCCTCCAAATATGAAAAGAATTGCTATAATAAATATTTATGCATATGATAGAAAGCACGTCATACAATAAAATAGATCATACAGGTATTTTATATATATACAGTATACTGTACTGTACTGTACATAAAATAGTTAAGCCAGTCAGCTGAGCCAGCCACCCAGCTCACTCAGACATGTGAGGATGCTGCACTGCACTGTGTATATACTGATATCACATCGGGCCCTGGGGGAGGTAGTGCAGCTGGGCAGGTGGAGATAAAGGATAATTTTGCCATTTGCCTAAAATTTTATGCTTTATTTACAGGTGTACTATTCATGTGAGCCTGAGTATCGGCTAGTTGGCCCATCTGTGTTGACATGTGAGGACTCTGGGTGTTGGACCCCAAGGATGCCTCCTGTCTGTCATCTCACTCATCAGTATGAAGGTCAGTACCATACCGATATCTATGTTGTTTATGTATATAGTAAATAATAATGGTCCAAGTACTGAGACTTGGGCAACTCCACTAGTGACATTGCTCAATTGGGACTTAGTGCCATTAATGCTCACTCGCTGTTTCCTGTCCTGTAACCACGCCCTAATCCATTTAAGGATGTCACCTTTGATGCCATGTGCTTCTACCTCTCTAAATAGTCTTTCGTGGGGGATTCTGTCGAAGGCTTTGCTAAAGTCGAGATATACCACATCATAATTGTGCCCCTCGTCCACTGATTCGAAAACTGATGAAAAGAATGAATGCCTGCTTGTGAAGCCATACTGGGAATCATTGATCAATTTGTGCTTCTCAAGGTGATTTCGAATAGAGTTTGAAATGATTGCTTCCAGTAATTTGCCTACAATTGATGTTAGACTGATTGGTCGGTAGTTAGAGGATAGTGATCTATCTCCCTTCTTGAAAATTGGTATTACATTCGCTATCCTCCAGGATTCTGGTACTACACCTGTTTTTAAGGACATGTTAAACTACTTTCCTAAGGGCATACTAAGCTCTTCCTTACATTCCTTTAATACTCTGGCAAATATCTCATCGGGACCAGGTGACTTATTAGGCTTTAGTTTGTCTATTTGCTTACTAACATCGTTACTAGCCACTACTATCTAGCTTAATTTGTTTTCTTTACTATCTCTGTATAGAGTCGGTGCCTCGGGTATCATGTTTAAATTTTCGGTAGTGAAAACTGTTGAAAAATATTTATTCAGATTGTTGCTCATTTCTCCGTCGTTATCAGTTAGCTCGCCAGTATCTGACTGTATTGGTCCAATCTTTTCTTGTGATTTAGTTTGATACATTTGGTAGAATCCCTTGGGGTTTAACTTCGCCTCCCTCTCTATCCTCAGCTCATTATTCCTCTTTGCTTTTCTTATCTCGGTCTTAACCCTACCGGCCAATACCTTATAATAATCTCAGAGGTAAACTTTGCCACGATTTATCCTCCTACCTATATCCTTCCTTTGACCAATAATGTTCTTTAAATAATTACTTATCCATTTAGGGTCATTGTTATTTGATCTGAGTTTTTTGTATGGTATGTTCTGCCTTTGTGCATTAAGTAACTCATTATTTAAATCTTTGAAGAACTCGGCAACCTCAGATCTCGTTATCAGGTCAGTCTCAACCGTCAGGTCTCTGGGTAGGGTGAGGTCGCCAACTGTGGGTACATTGTAGGTCACATCATGTGAGGTCATGTAGTTCACCCCCAAGAGTGATACCCCTTCTCTCAACTGCCTCTTCAAACTATCAAAGTTTGCCCTTCTGAAATTTGGGGCTTTCTTGGAATTTTCCTTACGGCTGCCCTGAAAATCTAACTGGAATCTAATTTCTTTGTGATCGCTGTTTGCAAGTGCGTTCCCTACCTCGACATTACTAATGAGGTTTTCTCTGTTCGACAGAACTAAATCGAGTATATTATTACCCCGGGTGGGTTCGGTTATATGTTGACTTAGGAAACAGTCCTGGATCGTTTAAAGAAAATCCTCTGTTTCTGAGTTGCCCGTAAGGTCAATCCAATCTATTTGGCTAAAGTTAAAGTTGCCTACTATACAGACTTTGCTGTGTATGGAAGCCCTGCGCGTTTCATCCCAAATAAGTCGCTCATTAACTCTATCAAGATTAGGAGGTCTATATATTACTCCTGTGATTAATTTTTTCCCTACCATCGATTAAATCTATCCAAATTGTTTCTGTATTCCCCTCAGTTTTTATTTCCTTATTTATTTCACACTTCAGATTATCCCTAACATAGATTGCTACTCCGCCTCCTTTCCTAATCTGCCTATCTGTATGGAATAATTTGTAAATTGCAATTTGGTATTCGACAGCCAACTCACGTGAGTCTAGGTTTATCCATGTTTCGGTGAATGCTATTCTATCGATTTTTTCAGTACATACCAAGGCCCTAATTTTATCCATTTTGTTTCTCATATTTCTACTGGATGCGTAGTAGACATTTAAGTTAGTCATGTTCTGAGTCCTCTCTTTGTCGCGTTTAGGTTTTAACTCCCTATCTAATTTAGTTTTGTCATCATTCCTAACACTATTTCCCTGTAACCTTTCACTTTGTTTACGCGCTCCCACTGCAGTCCCCTCCACCCCCGTGCTCATATGTTCCCCTAGCAGTTTAAAGACTTCAATATCTTTTGAACTGCCCTCTCGAGAGACCCAGCCAGGGAAGCCACCCCATCCCTAGACAGGTGCACCCCATCCCTAGCATAAAGGTTCCTTCTACCGAAGAAGTTGTCCCAGTTGTCAATGAATGGGACTGATATTGACTTGCAATATCTGTCAAGATGGCCGTTGACACCAACTGCCCTTGACAACCATTCATTGCCAACTCTCCTTCTAGGCAGGACACCACATAAGATATGGATCCCTCCCTTAGTCCTAATACGTTCTATAGCTGCCTTGAACTTATCAAGAAGCTCCTCACTCCTACACCAGCCAATATCATTGCCTCCAGCACTGAGGCAGATAATGGGTTTGTTCCCATTACCAGATAAGATATTGTCCATCCTGTCAAGCATTGGTTGACTCTCTGGCATGGGGTTTTAATATTACTTTGAACCCAATAATTTATCAAATGCTCAGATCGTCCTCTTTCATTTAGAGACCCCCCTCGGCCTAAGAGAATCCCACCTTGGTCTGTAGATAAAGTTACTAAATTTCTTATGGGGCGTAACTATAATATAAATCTGAACAAGGACAGATTGCTCCAGAAGGCAGCCTTCCTTCTAGCAATAGCAACAGGTATGAGAATCAGTGAGTTGATTTCAATTTCCAATAATCCATCATTATTGGTATTTTCTGAGGAAGATGTCGCCCTTTTTCCTACGGAGATTCTAAGAAAAAATGAAAGGGGGGATTTTCAAGCTCAACCTATCAGGATAAAACAGCCCCTATGTATTCTCATCACAGGATGGTTAGAAATTGTCTCTTAGTCAAATGGCAAAGTAATTTTCTCAGTGAATCAAGCAGACCCTGGCAAGAAATTTTTGGCACATGACACCAGGAAATATGCAGGGTGTGTGAACTTTCTGCGGCATATGAACCTCAGTCAGATCAAAGAAGCGGGCTTTTGGAAATCTTCAAAACCTTTCAAAACAGTTATCTTCTTCTATCTCTGAAAGATGCTTCACATGTGGTGGTGCTGGGGTCCCCTCCCCCACCTAGTTAATCTCCACAACCAGGACCTTCTTCTTCCTCATCAGAATAAAGTGAGTATCCTAATTGGGATATGTTAATTAACATTTTACCTTCCGGTAAATGTTCCTAATATTGGAAAATATTCCAAAAAGTTTATAATTATAATCTGGACCTAAGCTAGCAGAGCCTTATATGCAATGTCACCTCCCTCTCCACCTCCTGCTCGGGTAATCAAAGCTAGACGTCGCATTCTGGATTGAACAAAAAGCCATTTTATTCTAAAAACCAGTTTTTGTGATATACTGCAGTCCAGAATGCGACGTCAACATCCCACCCATCTACACCCCTCGAGAGTTGACATTTGTTTACTGCTCGCTCTAGGACAAAAGATGATGGAGGGTGCGGGAGGGGGTTTTGAGAATTGCAATTAAATGCCAGGTAGCGACGTATCCTAATATTACGTATTTAAGTACCGGTAATTATTAGATGCTTTAATTGCCTGTATGTTGGCCTGGTGAGTTATTGCTAGGCATTAACATACCTAGGTATAAAGCTAGACGTCGCATTCTGGACTATAGCATAAAAACTGATTTAAACAAAAATACATTTTCATTATTATTATTATTATTATTATTATTATTATTATTATTATTATTATTATTATTATTATTATTATTATTATTATTATTATTAGTAGTAGTAGTAGTAGTAGTAGTAGTAGTAGTAGTAATAGTATTACTATATTATATTTTTGCCCCCAGGCCCTGATGTGGGTAAATAATTGACCTGTGCTCTGGTGGGCTAATACTGTTTAAAAAAAAATATTTCCTGTTCTAACTCTCTCTTCTATACTATACACTACTGGTCCAGCTCTGTCCAACCTCTTTCTTCCATTCTCACTTTGTATAGTAGAGTATTGATTGTGAAACCTCCAGGTACAGTATGCACAAGAATTTAGTATAATTTAGGTTTTAAGAGTACAGTAGTTCCTATGTGAATTTAAACATTTACTGTATCTCGTGACAGTGTAGCAATTAGGCTCCTAATGGACCTTAAACTTACCCTTACATTAAGATCATTGGAGACCCTAAAATATCACTGGGGTTCCATTTCAGAAAAAGTACCATGAAAGCCAAAACTACAGTCTTTGAAACTTAAACCTGACTTGGTTAGCTTCCTGGACTCACTTGTTGCTGGGTATTGGATGATATAGGCCTGGTAATGATGATGGCAGTAGTTGGAATTATGGTGGTGGTAGGAGGATGAGTGATGGTGGTGATTAATGATGTTAGGAGTAGTTATGGTTGTGACAGGAGCAAGAGTTAATGTGGTGGTGGTGGTAGGAAAATGTGTGGTAGTGGTGGTAATAGAAGAATTTGTGGTGGTAATGGTGATAGAATAAGTTATGGCAGCGGCGGTGGTGGAAGTTTTGGTGTTAGGAGGAGTCATGGTGGTGGTGGTGGTGGTGGTTGTGGTGGGAGTTTTCATGCTAGAAGGAGTTATGGTGCTAGGAGAAGTCATGGTGGTAGGAGAAACTGTGTTCGTGGTTGAGGTGGGAGGAATTTTGGTGGTGGCAGTGGTAGGAGTTGTCAGGGTGTTGGTTGGGGGAGTTTTGGTGGTGAAAGTTGGAGGAGCGGCAGCAGCAGTGGTGATTATAAATAGACAGTTTTAAACACTTATAATGATTTATTCATGATATAACACGATAATAAATGCGTAAAACACTCGAATTTAACTTACCAGAAACGATGTTGCACGCTTAGTGAGTTGAGGTGGTGCATTCA